ACGATTTTATTAACAAAATCGTTTTAGACTGATTTGAAACCCTCAAATGATGAACTTTTGTGAATTTGTATATATAATGAAAACCTAATGATTTAAATTTCTTCAAATCGATACATAAATCATGAATATCTATATTACAAACCGTAATTTCCTCAAACTTTGTGAATCTAACTCGAATATGAATCTATTAACTAAATCGAAACCCTAATTTTATGAAATTTTGTGAATTTGTATAATTTCCAAAAACCTAATAATTTAAATTTCTTCAAATCGATACAGAAATCATGAATATCTAAATTACAAACCGTAATTTCCTAAAACTTTGTGAATCTAAGTGGTTTCTGAGTTTATTCATTAAACTGAAAAACTAATTTCACATTGTGAATTCACAGTGTGCTTTGTGATTTACATTTGATTATTTCAAAAAAATTCAATGTTTCTGAGTATAACATTTTTTGACAATTCACAAAGTGAATCATGATTACACATCAATTTAACATATCATTGATTCAAATTGTGAATTCACAGGGTGCTTTATCATTTACATTTGATTTTTTCATCTTGTGCAAATTCACATTGTGCATCTATGTTTAATTGATATTGCATCGCTTATTGTGCTTCTCATTGTAAATTTATAAAGAGTTTCATTGGTAATGCTTTGATTCACAATGAATTCACAATGTGAATAAATGTTATGTTAAATTCATCTATAATCCTGTTTCACATTGTGATTTATATGAATAAATCATAATTTTCATATCATGAAACTAATGTTTTTATTACTTTGTTAATCAAAAACAGGAAATGAAAAAAAGATCAACGAAAAAAAGGATAATAAGAAAAGAATGAAATTGACAAAGAATCTAAAAGATGTTCTACCTTCAACTACAAGTGAAATAATTGACGATATTCAAGATAAAAAACATGTTAGAACATTCACATTCAGATTAAAATAACTAACTTCTCTAATCATATACTACACACTTATTAAAAAAAACTAATTCACAATGTGAATCTTTGATGTAACTCATATCCTCACAGATTCACAATGTGAATCTTTTAAAAATGTTTTCCAAGTTGATTACCACTTTTGCTTGTTTTCATTATGCACAAAATAATTGAAAAGATTCACGATGTTTATGTGTACAACACTTGGTGAACCTCAACTTGTTTTGATATGAAATGTAGAGATTCACATTGTGAATCTTCGATGTATATCTCACATTCTCACAGATTCACAATGTGAATCTCTTAAAATGTTTTCCAATTTGCTTACCACTTTCACTTGTTTTCACTATGCACACAATACGTGAAAAGATTCACCATATGTATGTGTACATCACTTGGTGAACCTCAAACTGTTTTGCTATATAATGCATAAATTCACAATGTGAATCTTGGATGTATATTTCACATTCTCACAGATTCACAATGTGAATCTCTTAAAAAATTTGCTGCAAGTTGATTACCACTTTCGTTTGTTTTCACTATGCACAAAATAAGTGAAAAGATTCACCATGTTTATGTGTACATCACTTGGTGAACTTCAACCTGTTTTGTTATGCAATGTAGAGATTCACATTGTGTATCTTCGATGTATATCTGACATTCGCACAGATTCACAATGTGAATCTCTTAAAAAACATTTTGCAAGTTGATTAACATTTTCGCTCTTTTTCACTATGCACAAAATAAGTGAAAAGATTCACCATGTGTATGTGTACATCACTTGGTGAACCTCAACCTGTTTTGGTATGAAATGTAGAGATTCACATTGTGAATCTTTGATGTATATCTCACATTCTCATAGATTCACAATGTGAATCTCTTAAAAAATATTTTGCAAGTTGATTACCACTTTCGCTTGTTTTCACTATGCACAAAATAAGTGAAAAGATTCACCATGTGTATGTGTACATCACTTGGTGAACCTCAAACTGTTTTGGTATGAAATGTAAAGATTCACAATGTGAATCTTTGATGTAACTCATAGCCTCACAGATTCACAATGTGAATCTCTAAAAATTATTTTTGCAAGTTGATTAACACTTTCGTTTGTTTTTACTATGCACAAAATAAGTGAAAAGATTCACCATGTGTATGTGTACATCACTTGGTGAACTTCAAACTGTTTTTGTATGAAATGTAAAGATTCACAATGTGAATCTTTGATGTAACTCATAGCCTCACAGATTCACAATGTGAATCTCTTAAAAAAAATTACAAGTTGATTAACACTTTCGTTTTTTTTTCACTATGCACAAAATAAGTGAAAAGATTCACCATATGTATGTGTACATCACTTGGTGAACCTCAAACTATTTTGGTATGGAATGCATAAATTTACAATGTGAATCTTTGATGTAACTCATAGCCTCACAGATTCACAATGTGAATCTCTTAAAAACAATTTTGCAAGTTGATTACCACTTTCGCTTGTTTTCACTATGCACAAAATAAGTGAAAAGATTCACCATGTTAATGTGTACATCATTTGGTGAACCTCAAACTGTTTTGGTATGAAATGTAGAGATTCACATTGTGAATCTTCGATGTATATCTTACATTCTCACAGATTCACAATGTGAATCTCTTAAAAAAATTGCAAGTTGATTACCACTTTCGCTTGTTTTCACTATGCACAAAATAAATGAAAAGGTTCACCATGTGTATGAGTACATCGCTTGGTGAACCTCAAACTATTTTGGTATGAAATTAATAAATTCACAATGTGAATCTTTGATGTAACTCATAGCCTCACAAATTTACAATGTGAATCTCTTAAAAAAAATTGCAAATTGATTAACACGTTCGTTTGTTTTCATTATGCACAAAATATGTGAGAAGATTCACCATGTGTATGTGTACATCATTTGGTGAACCTCAACCTGTTTTGGTATGAAATGTAAAGATTAACATTGTGAATCTCTGATATATATCTCACATTCTCACAGATTCACAATGTGAATCTCCTAAAAATGTTTTCTAAGTTGACTACCACTTTCTCTTGTTTTCACTATGCATAAAATAAGTGAAAAAAATTCACAATGTGTATGTGTACATCACTTGGTGAATATCAACCTGTTTTGGTATGAAATGTAAAGATTCACATTGTGAATCTTCGATGTATATCTCACATTCTCACAAATTCACAATGTGAATTTCTAAAACGTTTTTGCAAGTTGATCATCACATGTTTAATTTTATATTTTTTGACATGTATTTCATAATATTACTTATATTTTTACATTCATTTCATAATATTACTTATATTTTTGACATTGACATTAAAAATTTCAAATTGTGTAGTTGAAGGTTCAAAAAAATATACCAAAAGCACCGCAAGGAGAACCGTGGTGGAAATTGTTAATATATTAAGAAAAAATGAAGATGAAAAGACTCGTGATGAAAACATTGAAAAAGAAAAAACTTTAGAAGGTGATAAGATTCAAAAAAAGCAAACAAAAAAATTGATGAAGCAAGATGAATCTATTTTGAAGACACTTGAAAAGAAAACAACACAAGGTTAGTATTTATAAAATTATAATTTACTTTAATATATAAAATCAGTTATCATTAATTTTATTTTTTTAAAAATGAACAGAAATCAGACAAAATCCAAGATTTCAAAAAATGAAAACGAAAATGTCGATGAAGCAAGACAAATCTGTTTTCAATACACCTGAAAAGAAAACAACTCAAGGTTAGTATTTATAAAATTATAATTGAATTTGATATTATAAAATAAATTCTCATTAATTTTGTTAAAACATGTACATAAATCAGACAGAGTCCAAGACTTAAAATGATTGAATACAAAAAATCTTTGACTTCTATTAAAGCTGATGATAGCCTTGTAAAGAAAGAATCCGATGAAAAAGCAACATGTTTGTTTATTACTATTCACATGTTTAATTTACAAAGTTATAAACAAATTCACATGTTTATTTTGTGTATTATATTATATTTTACAAAACAAAAACCTTGTGAATGATATTTATTTTAATAACAAACTTTTTAAAAAATTTCACATGTGAATTTGTTGTATTGTTATTTATTATATAGTATATATGTTATAGTATGAGAAGCTTACGAAAATTATTGACTAACAGGAAAAAGAAAAACAAAAACAAATGAAGCAGAGATAAAAATGAAGATTGTCAAGACAAATACTATGGAAGTAGTCAAAGAAAAAAAAAACGCAAAAGTGCCAATAAATCCAAATGACAGAGTATCTTTGATAACGAGAATGAGCCTAAAGAAGTTTTATGATATCGTTAAATCTTTAAACAAAGAACAGAAAAAAGTTGTTAGAGAAATGGGATTGGGATATTTTCTGAGAATTGCAACCAATTGAATTTCTGGGAAATTGGCACGTTTTGTTGTGAATTCATTCAATCCATCAGATATGAAAATGCATCTACCTAACGCAAAGATAGATATAACACCAGCTCTTGTTAATGATTTGCTTGGAATTCCTCTAGGTGGAAAAGATATATATAACACTCATCAATGTGAAGGAAAAGAATTAATGGATTGGAAGCAACAATACAATTTTAAGGCTATGAGACCATCAGATGTTCAAGAGAGGATTAAAGAATCATCAAATTCAGGGATTATTTTCAGAACAAACTTTCTATTACTGCTTTTTAATACCATCTGTGAACAGAATATGCCTGGAATTTATAAAACAACAGTATTGCCACATTTGTTAGGCAAAACACCTATGAGAGAAATTGATTGGTGTGGTTTTATAACCAATTGTTTGAAAATGTCAAAGACGACGTGGGATGAAACCGATAGAGGAAACTACCATTGTGGGCTACTTCTTGTATTATTGGTAAGGAAGTTTTTTATAATTAACACTTTTATTTATATTATTATAAGAAAACTAATTAATCATAATTTTGTTACATAAACAGCTAGCTTATTTGGAGTTTATGAGAAATGATAAGAGTTAAAAAAGACAAATACATGCACTACATTTTTGGGATTATGAGATGATGGTGAAAAGGGAAAAAGCTGAGTTAAAGAGTGGTGACTTTGGAACTTTGGAATGGAATGATGATGTTATAGAGAATGATGAAGAATCCGACACCGATGAAAATGAAGATATGAAACTCGACGTAAGTTAATAATCTATATAATTAAAAAAAAGTTATGAAATTGTATTACAACTATATGTTATAAAATTGTAGTTAAGATGAATTCATAAAGTGATTCACATTGTGAATATAAATGTGTGTTTTATTACTTTTTCTATAATAAATTCACATAGTGAATATGTAATTTATTAAAAATGCATTAAAAGTGTGATACCTCATCAATGCATTCATATTGTGAAACTGTAATTTATTATAGAAAAAAGTTAAAAAATTCATTATTATTGATATTTTTTATTTCATTTTGCAGGAATTGGTATTCAAAGAAAAAAAGAATTATAAAAAACTAGTGAATGATAAAATGAAGTTTGGAAAGTTAATTGAGTTTTCAACAACAAAATTCACAGAAAGCGATGAGTTGAAAGATATGAAGAAAGTCTTTGAACAAGAATTCATTTATAAAAGTCAAAATGAAGATGAAACAAATGTGATGAATGAAGATGATGCAAAAAGTGACGAGAATGAAGATGAAGAAAAAAGAGATTAGAATTTGAATGAACATGAAATAAAGAATCAACCAATCATGGTAACGACATGAAATTTGTACAATGATCCAATAGTGCATGAGATTGCCGATTCTATTCATTGTATTTTAAATTTTGATGATTATGATGATTTTGTCAATGTAAAAAGTTTAGAGAACAAACATATAAAATAACAATAATAGATGATAAAAAAAAGAAAAAAAATACTAGAAAATCATCAATGCCTAGTTTTTCACTTGGACTTGGTCTTGGTCTAACACAAGAGCTTCAGGAAGGAGATGAACGCAATGAAAATGAACAAGAGAAGAAAGAAAGAAAAGATGAAAAACTTGATGAAGAAGAAAGTTATGATTCAGAAGAAACAGAATGTGACAATAATATCTTGGGAATTGAAGATCATCAAGAGGGAAGAAGAGATGTAGGAAAAAGATTAAAAAAACCATTACTGAAGGTATCTTCTCCTTATAATCAAAAAGAGGTATGTGCATCGAAATTTATAGATCCAAATGAAGTAAAAGTATCAGATAGAATTTTTCCAGAATTAGTAATAGTAGGTAATAATTCATGTTATCTTTTCTTTAAATACAATAGTATGTAAATATAAATACAAATTAATTTTCTATTAACAGCTTTTTTGTTTATTTGATTAGAAAATTAAGTGAGAAGGTATTTCAAACTAAGAGAGGTTATGTGCTTGGAATATGAATGATTGAAACCATGCAGGCAGGATTATGGATACATGCACATGTCATTGATGCTTGGACTGATGTTTCGAACTATGAAGAAAAGCTTAAATCAAATTCTACAGTGAATCGGTATTTCTTTGATACATCAATGGTGGTAACTTAATTAAAAAATATATATCATGATAATGTTGATCATATAATAAATAAAATTTTCAATAGTTCTGAATAAGTAATAAAAATTCAGACAGTGAATTCTATTATAATTCACAGTGTGAATAATTTTAAATTTTAAATTTACCTTATTGTGAATTTAACAATTTTGTCTTTAAAGTTTGATGTATATTTAATTTTTTTGCAGAGACAGTTCATATTTAACAAAAAAATCCCTTTCATTGAAAGATATGATAAATTTGAGTCAAATATCAAAGATGCAATGAAAAAGGACCAAGAACTTCTGACATTTGAAAAAGTTCACTTGGTAATAAATTGTTCTTTTTGTTGAATATATTACATCTGTTAAACAAAGTTTAACAATTTAAAATATTAAAACATGTGTTTTTCCCAATTCATCAAAAAAATCACTTTTACATCATCAGCATAAACTTGGAGGAATCAACGGTTGATGTCATTGACAATAGGAATTCAGTTGCAAAGTTTTCAAGAGCTTATCGTGATGCACCTAATGAATTGGTAAGAATAGTAAATTTACATTCTAAATATAAATATTAATAGACTGATAATTTGAATAAAATAATAATTATAGAAAATGACAATTTCTTTTTTGCAGAAAATACTTTTTAGTAGGTACTTGATGAGTGTCAATCACAAATCAGCTTTAATTTTGGAGGGTGTTAAACCAGAAAGGGTGAACATAAATTGGTGCACAAGGGATAATCATGTTGACTGTGGAGTTTTTTGCATGCGTCATATGGAAACATATATGGGAGATAAAACAGTAAATTGGACATGTGGATTGCCAAAAGAATCAAAACAACAACAAACTGTGTTAAACGATTTACACATTAAGTATTTGAAAAAGATACTATTGAGTGACGCAAACACATACAGGTCAAGAATCATTGCACAAATAGCTAAGTTTGCAAAAAAAGACTAATGAAGAAATACAAGTTTTGCTCAACAAGGGATGGGAAAAAAGGGAGAAAGGATATAGTACTTCAAGGATTGGAAAAATAAGTGTAAAACTTAAAACTTTACTTTTATATTCATAATTGGTATAAGTTTAGATGCACTTTAATTTATTTAAGAACATATACATGCTTGTTATGTTACAATTTGATGTGAATTTCTATATCAAAAATTCTTAAAATATGTTTATATTTTCATGTGAATGTCTACATGTATGTTATACAATTACATGTTTTGTTAAATATATGCTATTGGTGTGAGGGTGGGGGGGGGGGGGATTGGGTATATTTCTACTTTGAATAAAGAACTGAAAGTACTTTGTCATTTCATGCGTTTACTCCATTTCTTTTGGTCTAAATGATTAAATGTTAATGTAATAACTATACAATAGATGTAGAAAATTTACATTGTTTATATAAAGTAACATTAACCTTGTGAAAATTTTATATGTGAGATTCACAATGTGAATTACATTACATATTATAACATGTATATTTTATATGTGAGGTTCACAATGTGAATTACGGTACATATAAATCATTAGAACAATTAATAGTTGAGATTCAAAATGTGAATTAAATTACATAAAGAAAATCTTTAACATGAAAATTTTATATGTGAGATTAACAATGATAATTAATATACATAAATTAAATCATTAACATGAAAATTTTATTAGAAAACATTCAAAAAACTAACAATAAAAAAATATCTTTAACCAAAAACAATAAATTCGAAAAAAATATATTCTATTATTAGAAATAAAGTCTAAAACAATGAATATCAAAATTAACATGAATATTTCAACATTTCTACGTATTGAATGATCATTACAAAAATCAAATCTTATTTTAGTAGTCTTAAAAAAAAAATTAGAAACAATTAGCCTTCTGTAACCTCAGATTCTAAATCAGACTTCTTTAACCTCAAAATGCAACTCCTAGCATTGTGATTTGGTTTATGACATAAACTGCTCAACCTGGAACCCTTTTTAGATGTCTCAATCGCTTTCTCTCTAATACTCTTGATTCTTTTACCACTGACCCATCCCTTGTTTCTGATCCCCTGTGGATTATTAATGTTGATAACATCAAGTACTGCAACTCCAATAATTTTTTCAATGTGAACCAATCTACTCGAAGGTTCCCTTAATGAGGTACATAAAGGAATACCACTATCAACCTCCTGAAGTTGCTTTATATATTTAGCCAACTCATCCTCATTATTTGCTATCTTGTTAATGGACAAACGAAGAATAGCATACGCATCTTGAATCAAACATTCATTTTTACTGCCTTTATGAGGATACATGTATTTTTTTTCTCAACAATCCATCAGCTATGATATCTTTTCCCTATCTCCTCAAAATGAAATTTGATGGAATTTCATCGTACTCTTTCATATTTAATATGAAAAACGTATGACGAAATAACACTCCTTCTTGGACAAAAAGCATGCAGCTACAACTGATACTAATGCTATCACCCCTTATACTAAATAGAACCTACAAAATTATCATTAATAAACAAATTAATATGTGAATAAGAAATTTTGTCTCATACCATTCGATAAAAATTATACAAATTAACATTGATTCACATTGTTAATCAACGGGACATTAGAAATCATAATAATATAACATAAATATGTACTTCAAATCAAATTCACAAAAAAACATACATATTCCATACTAATCTAATGAAAAGTACAAACCAATTTATAACTCTATGAGAATTCACACTATGAATTGGCAAAACAAGTGTGAATTTTTAAACTACATTTTATATTTAATAAACTCTATTAGGACAAAGAGACATACCTTGTAACGAGTATTAGGAAAATGAGAAGGAAGACTATTTCGATAAAAATCATCAGAATCTTCATCCTCATTCACATTTTTATCAATCAACTTTTTTTTTTCTTCTTATCTCTCAAAACATAAACTTCACTTTCATCTTCAATAACTACAGATTCTTTAACACAATAAAACACGTATTTGTATAACTCTTTCTGAATGTCCAAGAAAATATTATGTGTATAAATTTTCGATGCATTCTTTTCAAGAGCCAAAGGAGTCCTTAGCTTGGGGGTAGTAGTTGTGGACTGATAATCTAATAAAGATTGATGATGTATTTGCTTCTCCATTAAACTATCAAATGACATCATGAACTTCACTAAATTTGATTTATGATGCAAAAAATTTGAGAAAACATAATTCAGGTTCTCTGATCTTGAAGTAGTTCGCATCAAACCAGAAAGTTCAAGATCTCTTATAAAAGTCGGAATCCATAAATCCTTTATTTTAAAAACAATCTTTAACCAGTCATTTTCTTTTAGATGAAACTTATCTAACATTGTTGACCATGAACTTTCAAAATCCTATGGAGAACTTTGAATATTCCATATAATATCAAAAAACGTCTTTTGGAAGTCCGGATGGTTATAAACATCGATAGGAATGTAAAAAAAACACATAAGAATCATTACATAAGTTGAATATTTGATGTAGTTCATAGTAACATAACATTTTTTCACATTGTGAATTCACAGTGTGATTTATGATTTAGATTTGTCTCTTTCATCATATGCTAATTTATATTGTGAATCACAATGTGCTTTATGATCTAGATGGTTATAAATATATATAGGAATCAAGAAACAAAGAATATACATTTTCCTCAAGTTTTTGAGTGATGTGCCACATGCATAGTCTATGCTTGGATTCAGGAAAAACAAAATTAACAACTTTCTTCATTGATGAACCATGACCTGTTACAATCATCATGGGTGGCTTGACAAATGCTTTACGAAACTCTTCAAGCAACCACACATATGCATCTGCTGTATCACGAGCTAGTAAACCAGCAGCAAAAGGTTGAGATTTCGAAGAACAGGCGAGAGTACTTTGGATCGATCGGTGGTAAAGATGATGGACAGTAACAGAAGAAGCTAACGGAGACAAACAGGACTATTAAAAGAGAGCCTAAAATTACCAAAATGCCCCTCCGTGTTTATTTTGGTTAATTAAGGGTTAATGACCAAGATTAAAAGAAAATAGATGGTTAAGATATGTTCCTTGATCCATATTAGTTCTCTATTGAACTTTTCTCTCTCTCTCTCTCTCTCTCTCTCTCTATATATATATATATATATATATATATATATATTGTTTTACATAAAGTATCCACAAATTTGGTTTCCATTTTTTGTCCTAATTTAACATAGTATTTAAAAAGAGGAAAACAAAAAATCGTGAGACATAATAAATTTTCGTAGTCTCCTGTCACCACTGACCATGACTTCCACAAGCTTATTGTTGACCCTAACCAAAATATTCCATATCATTTTGTTAATATATAAAATTACATAAAGGATTAATGTGGTTTGGAGTAATTTGTATGGTTAGTTTTTAATTTTCTTTTTAACTCGTTCAATCCTTATCGGTCGGTTTTATGTTGTGTTTAGTCTCTAATCGTACCTGAAATTATTTATTAGTATAACTTTTTTTTACCATTTTAATTTTTGGTTTTAAATTTCTAATAAAACATAAAAACTCAAGGGACTAGTTTTGTAATTATATATAAATAGAAAGAGTAGATGAAAATCAGCCCCATTTAATTTACCGGTTGAGTCTTTATATTATTTCTCTATTTTAATAATTTTCGGTCATCAGCAACTTCTACTGTGGGTCAGCAACTTCTTGATCCGTACTAGAACGGTATCGAACATTACCGAATTTTAATATATGGAACAGTACTCGATACTCTAAAATCTCGAAAATTGAGATTCGTACCGATATTGGTAATGTTAATTTAGTTTGGTATTCGAGGTTGAGTTTCAATCAAATTAGGATTTTGGAAAATCGGGAACGGTACTGGTCGGTATTGTTCATCCCCACCAGATTTCAGATTTCAAATAGTATACCGTTGAGATACTTTTCATCCCCACCAAACCACCTCGTAGAAACCCCATGAAACATGTGACTCATTGCTTTGTCCCCCACTACCTAATCTTGACTTCGTTTTTGTATCACCACTCGCGGCCCTTCCGATGAAGCATACTTAATCACTGTCTCGTTTCATCACCACCTCCATTATTGACAATCGTTTAATAAATACCGTGTGAAATGGGACCATTCTATGATTTTCACACCCTATTCAAAAATCATTTAAAAAGACTCTTAAATCGTTTAAATTTGGTTTTCGTTTCATACATCAGTGGTTCTGTATTAGAATTTGATTTTCATATGGATGATGTTTGTTTGTTTGTTTATAGATTTTCAGACCTAAAACTAATTTTATAGTTACTCGTATGAAAACAACAAAAAGGGAAATGATGATGGTATTCTAGTTCCTTTGATTTTGGTTTGATTTTTAAATGATGAAGGTATTCTAGTTCCATTGATTTTGGTTTGATTTTTGTCTGTTGTTCTTTGTTATAACATAGGGGAATGAGAAAATGGTATGAGGTTAGACCCTAATGGAAAACCAATTCATATTTGGTTTAATTTTTTCAGTTCTATCTGTTTATTTTTTACAAAAACATGAAATGGTGGTGGTTTTTGTAATGATCGCAACTAGCTCAACCATACTCAAAATATAAGGACAATGAGGTTCCATTTTCTAAAATCAATTTGTAATAGAATGGATTACCCATTTCCTTTTATGCTAGCATCTAGTTTTTTTTTTATTTATTTTTATTTTTTTTATTACCAATGTGGGATTGGGTTTGCACCCCAACAATCCTCCCCTCAAACCCAAGTTCCGGCCTTGGCCTCCCCTCAACGATTGTTCATCAGATCCAATCCTTTTTAATACCATCGATACTCTTGGACCTGCTTACCTACCTGACCATAACCATCGGGAATACTTTCAATACAAGGCTTTGGGTTTAACTTCGTTGGACTGTGCACCACCTGAGCCGACCACATCATCCGGGCTACGACCATTGCATTGGTACTATTCGTAT